GCTGGACTGCAGTGGCGTAATCTCAGCTCACCACAGCCTCCACCTCCAGGGTTTAAGCGATTCTCCTGCCTCAAACTCCTGAGTAGCTGAGACTATAGGTGCATGCCACCACCTCTGGCTAAGTTATGTATTTTTTGTAGTGACAGGATTTCTTCACGTTGGCCAGGCTGGTCTCAAACTCCTGACCTCAAGTGATCCATTAGTCTTGGCCTCCCAAAGTGCTGGGATTACAGGCATGAGCCACCATACATGGCCCCTATGAACATATTTAGCAAACATTTATTGGGTATTACCAGGGCTAGACAAGATCTTCTTGTTCCTTTGGTCAACGGAGCCTTTTATTTGAGTTCATGTCTTGCAATTTCTTAGCTAAAAATGAAGATAACTTTAGGAAATCAGCCTGTAAGGAATTTCTAATGGGCAGTAAATATGACACTTTCCAGCCTGGATGACACAATAATTCTGTGAGTCATTTTTTATCCTATCCTCCTATGTTCAAATTAACACTTAATACTGGAATGTCCTTTCTGTTCTTAAAACCAACCAGGACAGGCCCTAAACTCTGCTTTTGAAAGTAAGTTCTCACCAGATTTATCTCAAGAACAACAACTTCCTTTTATCTTCCCCAAATGTTCCAGAATGCCTGGGCTCTTTTCCCTGCAATGGTACTTCCCGCCTGTTGGATGCAGCCCTCTGCCTTTTCTTAGGCTCTGTCTGCATTCTTCTCTCCTCCTCTCAACTACCAAACCCCGCCTATAAGACTTTGCGACTTCACTGGGCAGCTCATCCCACCTGGAGAATAAGCACACAATCATGTCTGAGGCCTATGCCTCACTTCCAATAGTACCTTCCCCGTATGTTCTTTGAGATATTCATAAGTGGGGAGATGTTCCATAGTCAAAAAGTTTGAGAAGCAATTGTTTAAACAAATTTAAATAGCTCCTTTATTGCAGGGCTTTCCAGAGTCTTTGATTTCTATAGGCATTGTTGGTCCTTCAAGATAAGAAGATAGTACTGTATAGGGCATTTTCAAAACTGATTTGATTAAAAAGCACTACCCCTTGTCTTACTGTGCTCAGGCTGCTATTACAAAATGGCATAGACTGGATGGCTTAAACAGCAGACATTGACTTCTCACGGTTCTGGAGGCTGGGAAGTTCATGGTCAAGGGCTGACAGATTGAGTTCCTGGAGAGGGCCCTTCTCCTGGCCTGCCATCTCACTGTGTGCTCATGTGCTGGAGACTGATCCAGCTCTCTTCTCTTCTTCTTCTTATAAGGGCACTAATTCCACCAGAGGGGCCCCACCCTCATGACCTCATGTAAATCTAATTATTTCCTAAAGACTCCACCTCCAAATGACATCACATTGGGGGTTAGAGTTTCAACATATGGATTTGAGGGGGACCCAAGCCTCCAGTACATGACACTTCTTTTGTTTTCCTTATTGCACCGTCTGCTATTGGTTTCTGTGGAATGCACCTAGGGACACACAAACTCCATTGCAGGTCTGGGTCTGAAGACAGATGACCTGGACTCAATCCCAGCTCCACCACTCCCTAGCTGTGGGACTTGGGTAAGTTTCTCAATCTCCCCAGGCCTGTTTTCCAGCTGGAAAACGAGGATAATAGTACCTACCTCTTAGAGCTGTTGTGAAGATGAAATGCTTCTATACAGAGCAATACAGGGCCATACAGAGGAGACATTAAAACAAAAATGTCAGCTATAATTGTGAAATCTTAGTATCAATAACTAACTGTATAATTAAATAATCTATTGTATCAGTTATTAATAAACATATTAATAGTGAATAATACTTATTATCTGGCAATTTTAAACTACTGCTGAGGCTAAATATTGAATTCTATGAAAGGATCATGGTCAAGCCTCTATTTTAGGCTCCTAGAGAGCAATGCAGCCTTGAAAGAAAATCAGCAAGAAAAGCAATGGCAAGTGTGAGCCAGGAATCAGAAGCAGTGTGGCTGGGTTTAAGGGAGAAGGGGCCACTGAACTCAGTGCCAGGACTCTGTGCCAACCACCACAGCCCTGGCAGGAAGCAGAGCTGGGACTCTGCAAAGGACAGGCCAACCACACAAGGAGGATGGCAGATCTGCCCATCCCCCCGGCTTTGTGCAGATAGATTTAGACTCATGGTAATGTCATCTTTGAATGCGCATTGCAGTTTCACATCCATATCTACCTCACCAAATAATCCTAGAATAGTGAATTTCAACATAAATGTCCCCTGCAATTTCAAAGGTTTAAGGGGTCCCTTTATGTAACAGGCAAAGGATTAGGGCCAGCTGGGAAATCCAAGTGTTTAAAACCTGTTCAGCACTTTTGCAGCCAAAGAGTAAGTTGCCAAACATTTTCCTCTAAAAGAAAACAGGCCACTGAATACTAGAAAGGGGAATTCTGGAAAAAAACAAAAAATCAAAGAAGAGAAGGGACGTCTTGGGAAAAGTAAAAGGATGTTGAACTGAAAGGTTTAAGACATTGAGATGGTAAACATAAATGAACATTTTTCTTTAAAAAAAAACACACACACAACAAAAAGAGAAACAATACAAGATGATTTTAAAAGCAAACCAAGGGAAAAAATTTACTGTCTATTAATTCTGATATGTAATAAAAGAAAAACACAGATTGTTGGTTAACAGATCCTAGGAGCACTGGAAGAGTTATGGATCAGGCTCTCCCTGAGAGGTGCAAGGTCACTGTGGTGCGCTAAGGAAGCACCACTTTGGAGCTCCCAGGCAGCCTCATCTCCCAGCACAACTGTCTTGCCTTCTCACTACTATTTCATTGAATCCTCCTGGGATCCACACACCAAACTCCAGATCCTCATTCCTTTAGATCCTTCTCCAACAGCTTCACAGTAGGAAACACTCCAAAGAGAATTTCAGTTTCCAGTACAAGTACATACACAATATGTTTATGGGCAATATATTCTATGGGCGATATATTCTTTTTTCTTTTTTTGAGACAGGGACTTGCTCTGTCACCCAGGCTGGAGTGCAGTGGTGACATCATAGCTCAGTGCAGCCTCCATCTCCTGGGCACAAGTGATTTTCCCACCTCAGCCTCCTGAGTAGCTAGCACTATAGGCATGCGCCACCACACCTGGCTAATTTTTGTATTTTTAGTAGAGATGGGGTTTCGCCATGTTGGGCAGGCTGGTCTCAAACTCCTGGCCTGAATGATCCACCCATCTCAGCCTCTGAAAATGCTGGGATTACAGGCATGAGCCATCGTGCCCAGCCTATTCCTCTCCTTTATGGTTTTTAAATTGTGGTAAAATTAAAATATGCACAACATAAACTTTACCACATTGACCATTTTTGAGTGTACGGCTCAGTAATGTTAAGTACATTCACACTGTTGCACAACCAATTTCCAGAATTTTTTATCTTGCAAAACTGAAACTCTGCACCCATTAAAGAACTCATTTCTACCTCTGCCACTCCCAGGCAACCACCATTCTATTTTCTGTCTCTATGAATTTGATGACTCTCGGTACCTCATATAAGTGGAATCACACTCAATTTGTTCTTTTGTGATTGGCGTTTCACCTGGTATAATGTCTTCAGGTTTCATCCATGTTGTAGCATGAGTCAGAACTTCCTTGTTTTTTAAGGCTGAATAACATTCCATCAAATGGGTAGACCACATCTTCTGTATCCATTAATCCGTCCATGCCAGGAACACATTTTAAGAAGTCTGTGAAAATGCATGGAGTCGTGTTTAAAAGGGTTTTATAAGTCATGATTGGCAGCAATTATTAAGCACCCTTTTCTGATTAGCCAGCATTGAAAATAGACAGGATTGGCCAGGCACAGTGGCTCATGTCTGTAATCCCAGCACTTTGGGAGGCTGAGGCAGGCAGATCACCTGAGGTCAGGAGTTCTAGATCAGCCTGGCCACATGGTGAAACCCCATCTCTACTAAAAGTACAAAAATTAGCTGGGCTTGGTGGCAAGTATCTGTAATCACAGCTACTTGGAAGGCTAAAGCAGGAGAATCATTTGAATCCAGGAGAAGGAAGTTGCAGTGAGTCGAGATCACACCACTGCACTCCAGCTTGGATGACAAGAGTAAAACTCCATCTCAAACAAGAAGAAGAAGAAAGAAGAAGGAGGAAGAAGGAGAAAGGAGGAAGGAGGAGGAAGAAGCAAGAAGGAGGTGGAAAAAGGAAGGAGGAAGGAGGAGGAGGAAGAGGAAGAGGAGGAGGAAGAGGAGGAGGAGGAAGAGGAAGAAGAGGAGGAAGAAGAGGAGAAAGACGAAGAAAAAGAGATCGAGACCATCCTGGTCAACATGGTGAAACCCCGTCTCTACTAAAAATACAAAAAAAAAATTAGCTGGGCATAGTGGCACGTGCCTGTAATCCCAGCCACTCAGGAGGCTGAGGCAGGAGAATTGCCTGAACCCAGGAGGCGGAGGTTGCGGTGAGCCGAGATCGCGCCATTGCACTCCAGCCTAGGTAACATGAGTGAAACTCCGTCTCAGGAAAAAAAAAAAAAAAAAAAAAAAAGGGGGAGGGAGAAAAAACAGCAGGACTAAGTAATTTGGGTCTGCATGCTGATAGTCAGGCAGATAGACAGGTGCTGGTGTAGACTGAGCCATCCAGACCTGACCAGCCCTGCTGCCAGTGAAGGTGGAGGGTTCTCAGAAGCCCTGAGAGTCTGGGAGGGAAACTGCCTCAGGGGGTTGTCAATGGAATCTGCAGTGGGAGCCCCAACACTGACCCAGGCGCTGACAAAGCAAGCCTGACACCCGGGGAAAGGAATTTAGCACTAGAACAAAGTTTCTTTATACCAAGGGTGTGCCATCTTTTGGCTTCTCTGGGCCACACACGAAATACACTAACACTTATGATGGCTGATGAGCAAAAAGAAAAAAAAAATCACAATAAAATTTCATAATGTTTTTAGAAAATTTACGAATTTGTGTTGGGCCTCATTCGAGGCCGTCTTGACCCACAGGCAGCCCATAGGCCATGGGTTGGACAAGCTTGCTTTATATTAAATATTCCCACCTACCTACCATTCATGTAGTCTACAAATACTTATTGACTGCCTACTGTGTGCCAGGCACTGTTCTGATATTTGAAAATACATCCTTGAATAAAACCCAAAAGGTCCCCCCGTTCTCTTAGAGTCTACATTCTATTGAAGGGGAGATAAATAGATAAATAAATAAGGCTGAGAGGAGTGAGGTCAATAAAACAGCATTTTGCAAGTGAGCGAGGCAGGGTCTGCATAAGAAAGGGAAGTTAGGGAAGGTGTCTCTGGGAAGTACCTATTTGGCCTGAGGCCTCAATGGCTCAAAGGGGTTAGTTGCCCTGCAGTGAGGCAGGAAGGAGAGTGCTTCTGGCAGAGGGAACAGCAAATGCAAAGATGGAGCCTCAAAGGGGAGCCAACTTGCTACATTTGAGGCCAGTGTTGGAGTAGAGTGAGGGTGGAGCGGGAGGATGGCAGAGGCCAGTTTATGCACAGCTTGTAGCTGAGTGTAGAAGGATGTTTCAGGAACGTGTGGAGGAAGGTAAGGGAGGATATCTCTGGCAAGTGGAGGAAGGATGCAAAGAAAGAAGCATTGCTTGTTGAAGAACAAGAAGCAATTGCTATGAGTGGGGTCTAGCTTGAGTGATGATCAGTGAATGACAAAGCTGGAGAGGTGGGTTGGGGCAAGCCCGTGAGACACCAGTAAGAAGCTAAGGAAGGGATTTAAAATTTATCCAGCTAACCACCAGAAACCACTAATAGTTTTTAATTACAGTATGACCTCATTTTCATTTTAAAAATAAACTTGTTGCTGAGATGGATTTGAATGGAAGGGAGACACCATTCTCCTGGGAAACCAAGAAAATTGAACTTGGCAAAAAACTGAACAGAGAGGACATAGCATGTAAGGGATACCATCGAGGGCAGATATTTTGGTCTTCAAAAAAAGATTTTATTTTTAATTTTTAGGTTTTTTTGTTTGTTTGTTTGTTTTTTCATTTGACAGAGTCTCACTCTGTCACCCAGGCTATAGTGCAGTGGTGTGATGTCAGCCACTACAACCTCCACCTCCTGAGTTCAAGCAATTCTCCTGCCTCAGCTTCCCAAATAGCTGGGATTACAGGTACCCACAACCATGCCTAGGTAATTTTTGTATTTTTGGTAGAGATGGGGTTTCACCATGTTGACCAGGCTGGTCTCAAACTTCCGACCTCAGGCAATCCACCCATCTCAACCTCCCAAAGCGCTGGGATTACAGGTGTGAGCCACTATGCCCAACCAGGAGCATGTTTTAAGTGAGGGGGATGTGCACTCTCCCAGCGCATTGTGCTCACTCAGTAAAAGAGGTCTTCAGCAAAGATGTCCCATTTCTGGATCATCTATCTCTTCTGATGGACATGTTCATATGGATGAATGAAAGGGATGGTAGTAAAACTCTCAAAGTCTCAACGGGTTCCCAATGCCCACCCAAGCATACTGGCTTCTAATCGTTGGCTTTATCTTGTGGCAGGGTTAAATTTGCTCAAATGCTTCCTGTGTAAGTGAGGAGAAATGGGTTCATAGAAGGAGTCTGTCTTGGGCCTGTATTTTGGATATTTGCCCATTGGAAATATTTCATATATAGCTAAATATTTTGATCCCAAGACAGAAGCCAGAGGTGAATATGTAGATTTTCATAGAGGTGATAATATTAATAAAAGC